TTAGGACAGAAAAAACTAAAGCTGCACATCTATGATTAAAATGGAAGAAAAACAACACACTTTCATGCTAAATACTCAAAAGAGTTCTGGCAAATGCCTCAATATGTTGTATTAATAACAATAAAAACAAGAAGGGTGTGTAACAAGTTAGGGATGAAAGGGCTACTAAAAAGCTTTGACCTTATGCAATTTCCATAAGGGCACTCCAATTTTAGCTCTGTGCACCGAGAAATCCCCGCTTGGCCTCAAGAGTGAGCATCTTATAATCTCATATTTACATTTCATAAATTATACATCAACTTCAAGCCATGAAAACCTCTTCCCAAATAAGGAGGATCTATTTTTTCTTTATTATTCTCTGACTTTTATAAATTGATATGCATCATCTGGGACACAGATTTTTTCAGCTTTCCTAACAATATATTTATAAACAAAACAAATGTGAAATGTGTTTACTGATCACATTTTTGTTTTAGTACTTTAATTTATTTTTATGTTCATTAAAAAACCCAGATACTCTAGGAAGTGGACTTTGTACTATGTAGACTGCAGTACTCAATCCACAGACCTGGGTTAGTCTGGAAATGGTGGTAGTGTGACCTTTCTCACACTGTCTGGCTATCGTACCTGAATCTGATCTAACAGGGGCTAACTAGAAGGATTAGGGGGAAGTTCAGCCTCTAAGCTTTTTCCATCCTTGACCACTCTGCTGAAAGTACCAAATCAGAAAATGTAAGTGTCAACTGTGGTATTGACTTTATTTACATGCTATACCGCAATCTCAAACAAACACCAAGGCCAGGTCTACATGACAAAGTTCAACATAGCTGTGTCAACAGAAGCGTAGTAGTAACTACCGTAATAATATAGCATTAGTATGGTGTTATTATACTGACAGAAAAACCCCTTCGATCAGCATAAGATGTGTCTACATTAGAGGCCTATGCTGGGATTGGTATACAGGCAAAGCAATTTTATGTAGACAAGGGCTGGCTAAAGATATAATCTACTATGGCTAAATCAGAGGAGAATGACAAGCAAGTCCCAATACAGCATGGGTCTCCATGGGGACTACTCACATGCTTAAGTATCTTTCTGCATCGGGGCTACAGAGCTGGGGGTCATCAGCATGCTGACGACACAACAACCCACATATCTTCACTAACTCCTCCCGGTGGCCTTATATGCATGTGAAAGAAAAGGGGAGACAAGATGGAACTGTGAAGAACCACGTGAGAACCAGCACTCCATTTTGAAACGGCTTAGCAAAAACAGCCGCCTCGTGTTAATGGTACCAAAGGCAGCTAATAACTGTTCAACTTAACTCTATAGGTAGGCTTAGCCAAATTCAATTTTATTTATTTTTATCATTTCAACAGATACTGATAGTTACATTTAAGCATTTTTTTTTGGCTATTTTTATCCATTTAAATTTTCACAGTTGTGGAAAGATATGGGAGGCTCAGACTATGAGCGCATTGGACAATAATTATTTAATGACAGTAGATGCTGAGATTCAAAAAGTTAAAGCTTTGTGAGCATTAAAATACAAATTGCCAACATATATGTCAAAATATACACAGCAAATAGCCTTAAATCAAATTCTAATAAGTTCTCTCAAGCAGCATTTTTCTTACCTGGCCTATCGTGAATTTCGATTATTATTGATGGAAATATTTTTTCTTTGTGCGTGTTCGGTGAAATCAATGTTCATTGACATTTATCAATAAAAATCTCATTCTTCCAAGCCTATCTATAGGTTTTATATTACACACTTTTCAATGTTTCGTAAAAGTCCATCCCTTTTCCCTTCCTAGACATGGCCATATTCTTGACATGTCAAGAATTATGTTTGCATTTGTACAAATAAATTGAAAGATAAAAGTTTCTACTTAGAAAAAAAAAATCTTATAAGTAAAGACAATTGCTAATAAGTATTAAAATACATTTAAATATAAACATGCTACTGCAGTACCAAATTATTTTGAACTGGGAAGAAGAGAGTTAGAAAAATATGCTCCAAACAACAATACAACATTTGAATCTATAAATCTAAAAGTGCTATTGAATGAAATACTGAAAGTCATATTACTGGAAACATTTTACCCAGCTCATCACGAACTAAAAGCCTGCCGCTTGCCTTTTGCAGGTCAAGTCTGTAATGCTGGAAAATCAGCCTGTGTGCTAAAAAACGGACTAAACATGCACTGTCTCATTAATGCTCTGAAGTGTAGAACAGTTTTAGTACAACAGATGTTTTGTTCAGCATTACAATCCAGGTTGGAGATTAGAAATGTTTTATGGTTCAACACAAAGATTAAAATGAGTCTCTGAGAGAGATGCAGATTAGGAATAAGCCTAAAAGGCTAGAGGTAAGAAGGGGGCACACTCACCACATTTAATTTATGAGTAGTTCCAAGAACATGGAACAAAATCTTTCAGTTTTGCAATTTCAGTAACACAGGCTGTAGAGTTAGAGAGGCAAAGTGGGGGACGATAAATCAGGACTTCATGCTGTGCACCAGGCTCAAATTAACTCTTGCACTTCCTGGAAATGGTTCTTTTACCTTGGTAATGCAATTATCAGATAGCAATCACAAGGGAGGCAAATTACAATACCTGTGTTTAAAACAGCGACCCCTATTGCTCCTCTTTGGTGGGGGAGAACTACCCACTCTTCAGTTAACCACTGGCCCTTCAGGCTTTTCACACTTTCCAAAAAGGAGAATAGCTGATGATGCTTAGATATAATGGGCAGTTGAATTAACATTCAATTACAACATGGCCCAATGTCATTCCATAGATACAAAAAGGAGGAGTGTCAGGTTTGGCAGTGAACTCGGAAGTATCTTTCCCCTACAGGTGTCCCAAAGTGGCGACTCCTTTGATCTACAGGTATTAGTGCAGCAACACACCCATAAAAGTTCTGAGCAACCCTAATTGAAGAGAAATGGGAAACTGTATGCAAGAGAGACTAAAGTGATTTAGAAATACCAAATTAGAAATACCAAATACTCTACATGTTAATCTATCACTAGAGTAGCTTGTATTTATTTTTATCTGATGTTCTTCATTAAACTTCTACCTTCACCTTCCTAATCAAAGCAGTCATCACATTTGCCTACAGCAAAGTCAGCTCTCAAGATAAATTATTTCTCAAGACAAGGTCACTTTATTCAGTTTATGATAGGAATTTGTATTGATTAAACCTTTAATATAGTTGAGTTACCATCTCCAAACTCCAGCACAGCTTATCCTGTACATATAAAAATATAGTAATTTAGGAAGGTAGACAGGCTTGCCATTACATACCCCTGTGTAGCCACAAAGACTCACCCAATGCAGGGGCAAATGAAGGAAGCTTATTAATCACCAGAATTATTCAGTTGATCCTCTCTCTGCTTCCTTTGGGGCTCTTGTGTCCAATTTAGACACTTTTTTTTTCTGATTAGCATTGTTTAAAGCTCTATTGTGCAATTTTAAAGGAATTATATGCAAGAGATTCTACTGCGGATAAGACTCCTCATAGGGTTTTACCATTCTCCCTTTTCTTTAAGGCCCCCAATAACATTTGAAGACTATCCAAGGATATCTAGAATTTCTGATTTACCTACTCTGATATTTGTTTAAAAAACTGTATATAAACAAAAAGAAAAGGAGTACTTGTGGCACCTTAGAGACTAACCAATTTATTTGAGCATGAGCTTTCGTGAGCTACAGCTCACTTCATCAGATACGGTATGCATCTGATGAAGTGAGCTGTAGCTCACGAAAGCTCATGCTCAAATAAATTGGTTAGTCTCTAAGGTGCCACAAGTACTCCTTTTCTTTTTGCGAATACAGACTAACACGGCTGTTCCTCTGAAACCTGTAAATAAACACAATCTCTGAAGTAATGTAACTCTACTGACACCTAGTGTTACGTGTGCTCTTCCAGGAATAAAGAATGTGCTTTTTAAAAAGAAAACGTATTGAAGAAAGACTGAGCAATCCTCAGTCTCCAATTCCAGAAGCAGTCTCCGTTATTGCAAAAAGACTGCCCATAAAAAGGAGATACAGGCAAGATCAACACCTGGAAAATGTACAACTTGCCTTGGGTAAAACCCTGTATGAACTCAAGTCCATCACGGTTTGTCTTATGCTATTATGCATTGAGATATGTTTTTGGTTATCATGCTAAAACAGTGCTGCTTTATCATGCCAATTTTTACGAACAGTCAAAGAGTCATCATGGTGATAAGGGAGAGAATTATATAAGTATACAGTAGTAAAAAAGCATCAGGGATTACAGCCACCATTTGTATTCCAGAGACATTAGACCGTGTCAGTTCCATGATACAAGAGGACCGATATGAATATGCAACAGCAACTGTCGTTCTAGAATGAAACGGAAAACCCCAACATAACTCCACGAATAATTATCTTTACCCTAGAGGGTAGGGAATCCTCATCACCTGAGAGGAACTAAATTCTCAGAGTTCTCTAGTCGGATCCAGTGCATCACAGCAGTGCTGTCCCTACTTCTCATTAGCCTCCCACGCTGCTCAGGGTTTAATCTGGCAGCACTCTAGTTCCTCAGAAAAACTAGTTTGCCTGTAGATCACCCCATGCACCCACCCATGTACAAGAGCCCCAAAATGTCAAAAGTCTTGATTGTAAAATAAAAAGCAAATACATTAAAAAAAAAAACGATCTATGACTCATGATTAAAAGGCAGCCTTAATGAAGAATGTACTATAAATGCAGCTCCACATGACACATACGTGACCTTTAGCAAGACAGTAGGCAGCTTCCAAGAAGCCAGGGGACTGAAGAAAAATTATTTAACTTTGCAGGAGCAATTCAGAAAGCATTAAGACCTTATGACAAAAGTCAGCTGTACCGTGTGATACAGAACAAGGTAAAGCCCCAAGCCACCCAACTGTCAGCAGGGCACGTCCACCCTGAGAACTGTACAAGTGTCTCCCCTCGCTCTGAATTAGAGCCTTCTAATGGCTTACCTGCTTCGGGTCCGTCGTGGCAGCAGGGGATTCCAGTTCTATAGTCACAGGACCATCATTCTGGATGTTTACCTGCATGTAGGCTCCAAACTTGCCATCTGAAAATGAAAAGAAAAAAAATGTCACAGAACTCTTGAAAGAAGGCTGCGCCCTGAGGGATCACACTATGGAAAAAGTGGGATCGACATTTTTTTTAAATGGCTTTTTATGTTAGGCCTTTATTCCTATATGTAGGTGCCTAGATAAATGGCCTGACTTTCAAGAGTGTTGAGCACCCAGCAACTTCCTAGAATGAAATGCTTATAAATAAATTAAGCAGAAATAAACACTCATGCTTTCATCTAATAAAAATGTAATGCAATGTAATTTGGGGAAGGGACCATTTTTTTGTTCTGTGTTTGAATGGAGTTCTTGTCCATTACTAGGGGTCCAAGGCACTATGATAATACAATAAATAATAGCTTCATAGCCTGTTTTGGTAAATGGGGGCTCTCTGAAGCCTGTCGCCTCTGATATACACATTGCGTGAAGTGGGAAAAGGTAGGGATGTGGTTTACGATCGAGGGGTGAATGCTGAGCTGAGTGAATGCTGAAAGTATAACAGAGCTTCCAATACAGAAAGAGAAACCTGATGGGTAGACTGAGCTCTTAGTTCATGCTAGAATGGCACACAAGAGACAGTGCTCTTTCAGTCAGAGAATAAAGATGCAGCATGTATTTGTGTTTTTGAAACCATGCCAGGAAGTCAGGGTGGTAGAGGGCCATGTTTCTGGTCTGTATTTGGAGGATAAGAGGCAAGAACACAGTATTTAACGATAATAAGCAGCTAAAATGGAGGGTGGCATACAGGCTTTATGGGGTGGCTGGATAAAGGTTCATCGCTCATATTGGAAAGATATAGGAGGCAGTGGGGGGGGAGAGGGAGGGAGGGTGGGGGGTAGACTTCATGAAGTGAGCTGTAGCTCACGAAAGCTTATGTTCAAATAAATTTGTTAGTCTCTAAGGTGCCACAAGTCCTCCTTTTCTTTTATCTATTTACAGCATTTTTTCCTAGGGTGCCCACTACACCATGGATTAGTGCCTGGGCACTCCACTTCCCACCAAACTTGGTCTCAAAAAGAATCATAGAATCATAGAATATCAGGGTTGGAAGGGACCTCAGGAGGTCATCTAGTCTAACCCCCTGCTCGAAGCAGGACCAATCCCCAATTAAATCATCCCAGCCAGGGCTTTGTCAAGTCTGACCTTAAAAACTTCTAAGGAAGGAGATTCTACCACCTCCCTAGGTAACGCATTCCAGTGTTTCACCACCCTCCGCGTGAAAAAGTTTTTCCTAATATCCAACCTAAACCTCCCCCACTGCAACTTGAGACCATTACTCCTTGTCCTGTCCTCTTCTACCACTGAGAATAGTCTAGAACCATCCTCTCTGGAACCACCTCTCAGGTAGTTGAAAGCAGCTATCAAATCCCCCCTCATTCTTCTCTTCTGCAGACTAAACAATCCCAATTCCCTCAACCTCTCCTCATAAGTCATGTGTTCCAGACCCCTAATCATTTTTGTTGCCCTTCGCTGGACTCTCTCCAATTTATCCACATCCTTCTTGTAGTGTGGGGCCCAAAACTGGACACAGTACTCCAGATGAGGCCTTACCAATGTCGAATAGAGGGGAACGATCATGTTCCTCGGTCTGCTCGCTATACCCCTACTTATACAGCCCAAAATGCCATTGGCCTTCTTGGCAACAAGGGCACACTGCTGACTCATATCCAGCTTCTCGTCCACTGTCACCCCTAGGTCCTTTTCCGCAGAACTGCTGCCTAGCCATTCGGTCCCTAGTCGGTAGCGGTGCATTGGGTTCTTCCGTCCTAAGTGCAGGACCCTGCACTTATCCTTATTGAACCTCATCAGATTTCTTTTGGCCCAATCCTCCAATTTGTCTAGGTCCCTCTGTATCCTATCCCTGCCCTCCAGCGTATCTACCACTCCTCCTAGTTTAGTGTCATCCGCAAATTTGCTGAGAGTGCAATCCACATCATCCTCCAGATCATTTTTGAAGATATTGAACAAAACCGGCCCCAAGACTGACCCCTGGGGCAGTCCACTTGACACCGGCTGCCAACTAGACATGAAGCCATTGATCACTACCCGTTGAGCCCGACAATCTAGCCAACTTTCTACCCACCTTATAGTGCATTCATCCAGCCCATACTTCGCTGCAGTCTCGGGTTTTTCTCTGTACAAATTTTCTCCTGTCCTTTTCTGCCTGTTCCTTTTCCTTCTCGTCCCTCCTTTATTTCTCCTGCAGCTCTTTACATTTCTTCAGCTTCCTCCATCCCAAGTTTGTCCCCCTGCCCCCCGTACTCTCCTTGTCTCCCTTCCTTCCTATGCAGTTCAGACTGCTCCTATGCTAGACCCAACACATTCCCTCTCCCGATGCATGAGCTTCAGTCTCCTTTTTAGGCCTGCCGTAGAGACAGGAGGTGGCAACACAGAGAGAAAAACTGTGTGTAATGCCTCGTGGGAGAGGGAAGAGGATACCAGACAGATAGAGAGGAACAGTTCCCCAGAGGCTCCTTTACCACTGAACACGGGTAGCTGGAAACCCCTTAAGTAGCCTGGAGCACCCCTAGGCTGGAACAGATCACTGACGCGCTGCCTTATGACAATGCTACCAGAGCTTAATTGTTTTGGTGAAGAACATCTGCAAAAACGTTGTGCTATTTTGGATAATGCTTGAAAAGGATTTTCAGCAGATAGGAAATAGCCACATGTCAAAATTTGCTACTCCAAGTTTTTGTGCATGCTGAGCCAGTCTCTGATGGAACTTCTGATTCCGAGCAAGCGCCTCCTCAAAATTACGGACTAAAATGAGTTAAAGCTCCCCAAGCACAAGGGCTTCTTCCATTCTTCAAAGTGGTGAAAAACCCCGGGGGAAAATGTTTCCCCTGACCTTGGATTAGTGTTCCCAGCACAGATGTGCATTAAGCCACGTCTAATAGATCAGACGTTAGCGGACAGTAGAGGTGACGTGGGAAAGCCCCATTTCTGACTGTGTAACATACCTGAAGAAATGTTCTGAGACCCTTTTTCTGTTTGCCAGATACAAGCTGAGTTTTGCTACGAATATGAATCCCAACTGGCCCATTGCAGGTGCATACATTCGGAATCTCAGCAGAAATACCATGTTTCTGTTGCTCAGCAGGCCACCCCGCAAACAGTCCATCCAGGGGTACCGCGCGGCCCTGTGTCATGTAGATCCCAGCTCCAAGGCAGCTCTCCGGGAAAGTGCAAGGGGCTGCGCGTGAGGCAGAGGAGTGGCATGGGTTTGGCCACAGCAGGTCCCACCCTGCGTGCTCATGGGAAGAGAGGGTCTTCAGAACACAACTGCCTATACTGTACATTCTGTGGCAGTGGCTGAAGCCAGCCTGCACAGCGCTTCACACCCTCCCTTCAGGCCGAGAGGCTGAAGATTATTCTCGCCCTCCCAAACTCCCATGTTGTTTCCCAGTCCTTTGCTTGGGCTCTGAACTGCAGGTGGGGGTTTGAACAAATCTTTCCACACAGATGGGAGCAACTTGCTTTGAACAACGGTAACCAGATCAGTACCGAAGCTGCTAGTTTCTTTCTGATAATCAAAGATGTAACAACGCACTGCCGCTCTTTGGGGGCTAAAAGTCACAACGTTCCAAAACACAATGCAAAATGAGATTTCTTGCAATGGAAACTCACTAATGACTTCCCTAAGGACTGACAATGATGAAGAATTACTGCTTTAAAAAAAGCTATGACAAACCTGATTTTCCCTTCAAAAAAAGATACCATGAAATATTCACTATCCTGAGGAAATGCCATTCTATTCTCAATTGCTAACTAGCTACGCAGCAAAAATACCAAGTAATAATGGAAAATAAAACAAATTTATGAGACTGAATTGCTACCAAGCAAGCAAAAAACAGACCTGATCTCCCTTGTACTGCCTCTTTCTCAATTTGCAAACTTGCAGGAGACTGGAACATGAAAGGGGACCCCCACGGGGAGATGACGTCAGAGCAATCAAAAAGCCACAATCATTATAATTCTTTTGCACATTTCTTAAACTCTTTGCCACCCACAACAGATTAAAACCCACAGAGAAACCCCAGATCGTTTTTCTATATTTGTGGCCCAGAGGTTTGCTGGTGAATCACATGGGCAAATGTTTTCTGGGACTATTATAAATGATTCCCAGCTGAAAAATAAGTTTCAGAACTCTGAATTTAACAATGGTTAACCAATAGCCATGTTCACAGACCTAAAGTCTAAATACCTATTCAAATGTTTAGGGAAAATCTCTTTGCATTTATATCGATTATGGCACAGTACATCTTACAGGTTTGGTTCCCACTCAGAGGGAGAGGTTCCTGTTTCTGATAAACACATTAAATCTGGAACTCTAGCATTAAACATAGGCTAGCAGGGATGGTCCACACCAATACCCAAAAAAATATGCAAAGTAGTTACATGTTTACAATAGCTTCTCCAGGAAGTGACTATAAACCCTGGATGAACTTGTACCAAAAAGGTGATTATTATTTGTATGTTACATATGCCCATATTACGCAGATGGCACCAGGTTTATAGCCCCATAGTTAAAATTGGATGAATTGTTTTGATTCAAACAACATTCACCTCAGGCAGACGCCAAGCTTGTCAAATTTCAGTCCAAAAGATAAACAGAATTAAAAAAGATAAGAGCTACTGAAAACATCATCTTAAAATGGAAACACTTGCTGCTAATGCTCTGGCTCCTTATACTTAAGGCTTGGTCTACACTAGAGCTTACTTTGGTATGACTCACACCGTGTGAATAATCCACACCCCTGAGTGACGTAAGTGACACTGACCTAAGCGCGGGTGTGGACAGTGCTACATCGGTGGGAGAGCTTCTCCCATTGGCATGGTGTGTCTTCACCAGACGCGCTGCACTGCTGTAACGCTGCTGATGTAGACGTGCCCTGTCTATATCTCCCTGCCCTGGAGCCTCTGTTTCTACAAAGGTCAAAGCAGAGTGGTACTTCAAAATGGCATAATAATGAAAGGAAAGCCAGCTTTCGTT